AAAAAAAAAATGTCACAACTGTTGTCCCCTTGTTTCTTTCAGTACTTTGTGTCAATATGTGGACTGTGTTCTTGTTGTAGTGGTCTTGAAATTACAGTTTGTTCACCAGCAGCAGTCATCTTGAGTTATTTATTGAAATTCAAGGATGTCCAAAGTAAAACAAAATTACACTCTGAATTTTTTGTTTTTTTTTTTAATTTCAAATAGCATGATATGTAATCATAACCCTAATTTTACTTAACATTCTTTTCTTAGGTTAATTACCTTTCATATGTTGCTCATGTTTTGGTTTATATTCGAGACAAACGTAAGTAAACTTGCTTAAAGTAACATACATGTTTACTGGAATATTAGGTTTAAGAAAATCCAAGTGGAAGCTGATCTTGTAAGCACTGACAAGATGAATAAGCATTTTTGCATGCAATTTTGTGGCTTAAACTCTACTTTAGTGCAGGAATATTTTCTTTGGTTTTGTGAAAAAAAGAACAAAGACATGAAAAATACACTCAGACCCATGCAAGGCACCCACCCAAAGGAGTAGAAAAAATGTACAAAATTAAAGATACAAATAAAAGCTAAGAAATAAGAGCAATCCTGTGATATGTACCACAATCAAATCAGGTCCCCATCAACTGCTATCAAAACTGATATCTGAAGGCACTTATACTTATTTTTCAATAACAATTTCCAAGAAGGTGGAGCACATACAGTAACCTTTTGGATCCTAAAAAAATGGCAGTCTCAAGATAATTTTAGGTTTCTTGTAATCTGATAATTTTGTGGCACACAGTCATAATTGTCACTTTTGATAGGAACAGTCAGTGTAAAAGAGACATGTTTTCTTTAAGGAAACAGCAAACACTGATAACAAGCTAGGGCTCAAACTTGGATTATGTTAATCAAGCTTCCTTGTTAACAGACCACATTATCACCCACAGGAGTTGATATGTCTGTAGAAGACCTGATGAACAACCGAACATAGATGAAAAGACTCACTTGTACAAACAAATAGAAGGACTAAATAATATTAAAACATTAAAATCATAAATAACATTAAAACTTTCTTCTTGTTTGCCATAAATAATGACATTTTATTGTCTGTCTAGTGGGGTTTCATTTTCCAGTTACGTTTTAATAATTGTTTGAGAGTTGTAAGCTCTGTGTTTTTGTCAAACTAGGATTGAAAAGGAACTCAGGAACTCTGACCTGCTGCAAGAGTTGTGTAATGGAAAGCATCTAAATGATGCTTGTGATATGCTTATACCTAGTTATTCCCAGGCTCAGATATATTAATTTTTTATTTATTTGTTTTATTTTAACTTATGGATTGATCAGGTTAATCAAG